CTTTACTAACAAGCCAAGACATGGAGACAGCCTAAAAGTCCATCAATAGGATGACTGGATAAAGAAGAGGTGGTATATTTATACAATGGAATAGTATTCAGCCATAAAAACCGACAACATAATGCCATTTGCAGCAACATGGATGCTCCTGGAGAATGTCGTTCTAAGGGAAGTAAGACAGAAAGAGAAAGAAAAATACCATATGAGATCGCTCATATGTGGAATCTAAAAACAAATAAACAAAGCATAAATACAAAACAGAAACAGACTCATAGACATAGAATACAAACTTGTGGTTGCCAAGGGGGTTGGGGGTGGGAAGGGATAGACTGGGATTTCAAAATTGTAGAATAGATAAACAAGATTACACTGTATAGCACAGGGAAATACAGACAAGATCTTGTGGTAGCTCACAGAGAAAAAAATGTGACAATGAATATATATATATATATGTTTATGTATAACTGAAAAATTGTGCTCTACACTGGAATTTGACACAACATTGTAAAATGATTATACATCAATAAAAAATGTTATATTGTTAAAAAAAATAATATCTATTTGGTAAAGCGCTTCCTGAAATCATTGACTTTCTTTCTCGGTTTTCTTGCAGCTCATCGAGTGTCTTCAAGACAGCTGCTTTGAATTCTTCATCAGCCGGATCGCAATATTCTGTGGTTTTGAGCTTGGTGGTTGTGCAGCTTTTGATAGCTTTTGGTGATGACATATTTCCGTGATTTCTCGTGTTCCTTGCAGTTTGGCATTTTTGCTTTCACACTGGAAGTAGCAGACACCTCCTTAAATCTTTGCTGGTTGCCTTCAGATGGAGCCCTATTTGTTGATGTAGCTTCATCTGGGGTTTCCTAGATTGTGCATGTGTAGTCATTCTCCGCTCTTCCTGCTCCCCCTTGTGGTAGAACTATCAAGCTTCAATGTCTTCTCTCTTTTTTCTTTCAGCTGCTCTGAAATACATTTTTTTAAATTGAGGTATAGTTAGCTTATAATGTCACATCAATTTCTGGTGTCCAGCGCAGTGCTTCAGTCATCCATGAACATACATATGTTCATCTTCATATTCTTTTTCACCATGAGCTACTACAAGATCTTGAATGTATTTCCCTGTGTTATGCAGTATAAACTTGTTTCTCGATTCTATATACACCTGTCAGTATCTATAATGTCTTCTCTTATTCTTACAACTCTTGATGCTGGCTGCTAGAAATCTTTCTTCTCTTTTCCGGAAGGTAGTGTTATAGCTTCAGCTGGTGGCTCTCCCTTGCGCACAGACCCGGATCCGTTTTTCTGGAAGCACCGTGATGACTGGATCTGCCACACCTGCTGCGCTTGGGAGCTCTCCCAAGGATCTGGACACAGAATGGGTGAGGCTGGGGTTTAGCAAAGGGGTGTTGGGGGTACCTTCGGACCATATGGGGAGATGCTTGGTTGGGGTTCTCCGAGAAGCTTGTGGGGGCTGCCTTCCTGCTGAAATCCTAAAGCAGTCAGCAAAGTCCATGTCCCTTTAATGTTGGAAGTTCTCATCTGCATCTTTGTCTTTCTCCGCCATTGCCCCTTGTCATAGAGGTCTGTCCCCAGTACTCTGGGCGCTGCTGGAGAAAAATGAACCTGTCCAGTCACACCCCACACAGCTGGGGTGGCCGGGCACTCACTGCCAGCTTTCCAACTCTCCTGTGGGGAGAGTTTGCCCAAACCCAACAGACCAGCCGCTTTCAGTGCTGCTCTGGGGCGGCTGGATGGGAGTGGCAGGGGGGAGGAGCTTCTTCTTCGCTGGGTCCAAACCTGCATCCTCCCTCTCTGATGGGTGTTGGAGTCCATCCTCAGGGATTCCAGACTTCTAAAAATTCTCTTGCCCATCTGAGGTAGCACTCCCGAAGTTTTGTTCTCCAGTCATGGTGTGGAGGAGTGGGGCAAGCTTACTAACTCTGCTTGAGACGAAGTCCTCACCAAATGTCTTTTGTCTCTTTTCAGATATGCAGGTGAGTGACAGTCCTCCAGGGTCCCTTGGTAAATGACGCTGTGTCCCACCGCTCCCACTGAGACACTTCTGATCATGGATGAATGTCTAATTAATTGTCTTAGACCAGTATGATGCTAATGTCAATATCCAATCCATTGACTTTAAAAAATATAATTATTTTTATCAGGATATAGTGGTTTTACGACATATCAGTTTCAGGTGTGCAACACAGTAATTCAAAATTTTTATAGATTATACTCCATGTAAAACTATTATAAGATATTGGCTATATTCCTCCTGGTGTAAAATACATCCTTTTTGCTTATTTTATACGCGAGAGTTGATACCTCTTCATCCCCCGCCTCCATCTTGCCCCTCCCCCTCCCCTCTCCCCCTTGTTCCACCACTAGTTCGTTCTCTGCATCTGAGTCTGTTTCTTTTCTGTTGCATTCACTAGTTTGCTGTATTTTTTTTTTTTTTTAGATTCCACATGTAAGCCGTATCTTGCAGTATTTTTCTTTCTCTGTCTGGCTTTGAATAAGTGTAGATCTCTTGTCTCTACTTCCCCTGGCTCTTCTTATGGCATTTTATCTTGTTCTTTCGTTTGAATTATATTCCCCCGCCACCATTTTGCCTAATTCTCTGTTTTTATTTCTATGTATTTGGTAGGTTGGCTATGTTTGCTGATCTTGGAGAAGTGTCCCTTCGGGGCCAGCAGTCTCCAGGGCCATATGCCCCCGGGGTGCCTCTCTGCGGGCTGCGTGTGGCAGGCTGGCTGCCGTGGGATGCTGGTTGGTGTGGCTGGCTTCCAGCTCTGTTGCTTGCCAGGCCCTGCTTAGTGTGAACTCTGTTGGCTGATGATGGGTGGTGTCAGTGCCTGGGCGGTCCTGAGGCAGCGTCAGACTGCTGACGGATGGAGCTGGGTCCCAGGGTGGCTCCTCCGTGGGGATGGGGGTCCTGGCACTGGTGTCAGTGTGCTGGTGTGCAAGGTCATGGGCGAGTTGGGGGTGGTTTCCAGGGCTTGTGTTTGGCTGCTGGTAGGTAAGTCTAGATCCTGGGGTGGCCATTGTGGGGTCTCATGGGTCCCAGGGCTAGTGCCAGCCCAGTTGTGGGTCCCTGTGGAGGGTGGGAGTAGGCCTCAGGGCAGCAGCCAATCTACTGGTCAGTGGGGTATGTCCTGCCTGGCTCCTTGCTTGGCCGGGGGCATCCCAAGACTGTGCTAACAGGCGGTGGGAAGGGCTGGGTCCTGAAGCTAATAGGCTGGAGGCAGGATTGCAAAATGACCCTTGCCAGGAGCAGTGTCCCTGTGGTAGAAAGAGCTCCCAGTAATGACTTCCACCAGCATCTATGTCCT